CGCACACACACACACACGCGCGCACACACACACACACACACACACACACACACACACACACACACACACACACACACACACACACACACACACACACACACACACAAACCTACTGTATTTCATTCTTGTATTATTAATGAATTTTACCTTCCTTCACACCAACAGCCTGCTAAACATTGCTTGTGTATTTACTTATTCTAGTACAGCTTGTTCTTAAATGCCACACAATAAGCATTCAAGTACTGATTCAATGAGCTGCATTTTACATTTGACAGTTTCTATCCACAGTACAATATACTGGAGTTTTGGTCACTACAGTAAATATAGCTGCTGGTTCTTGTGTCTACCCAGTGTGAACATGAATAAGCCTTTACGGTGCGGATCAGAAATATTACTTTGTGACAAAAACAAGTTTGGGTGGCAACACATTGGTTGACCTATCCACATTTCACTGTAAATTAAGTGAAAAATAAAAAAGTACAAGTTGCCTGCTGCTAGTTTGTGTTGTGTTGCGTAGTCCTGCTGAGAGGGGGAGAAAAATGGAACAGAGCTGCCAATTCATTAGTTGTTGATGACTGACATTCAGATATCCTTGCGGTCCAAACAGACCAATAATAACTCACACACTCGCAGGCACGGTGACAGCAGAAACAAACAGAGAGTATCGTCATGTATTGGCACTTGACATTGACTCACTTTCTGTCCTTTCATCCCTTCGGCCCCCTGGGCACCTGGCTGACCCTGTGGGAGGAGGTGTTGCTAAATGACTCAATGGCACGGCAGCATTTAAAATGTTGCTGCGACAAAATACCTACAGGGTCTCCTCTGTCTCCTTTTGCCCACTTTTCTTCCGAGATGCCAGGCTCGCCCTTTTCTCCCTGCATGTGAAAAGAACAGATCGTTCCCACTCACTGAGAGGAAAAGAGTGGGCACAAAGACACATACACACAAATGTCGCAGCGAAACATCACACAAGGACAGATGCAGTGAATAAGGTATCTGAAAAACAAAACATCTGAATCCAAATACAGTACATTCAAATGATCATTTAAAATGGAAACGGTGCGAGAATCTAAGATGGTGGAAAACATCTGCCCCTGTTGCATTGCAGCACTTTTTCCATGTTCCATTCCGCCGTCTTCCAATAGATGGCACTTAATGATTGCTGGTGAGCCGTCCTCGGTGCATTTTAAAAAGATTTCTTTCACTGTCACTTATGTGGGGAAAATGTCAAAGTAAACAGCAAGTGTACCTTCGCATTGGCCATGATGCACAGGGAATGATAAGTAAGATACATCTGTGATTGAAATATAAACAGGGAAAACTTTTGGGTCTCTGGGGGTATTGCCTCTCATCTTACTTTTATGCATTTTATACCATTTTTGACCTCATATTTTATAAACTTACAAACACCCTTGGATCAGAGAGATTCATCAGCAACTTTTTTTTTTCATTGTGGGTATGGAGACGCACTACCAAGAAACAGCTCAGATGCGACAAAGTATCTATACATAAACTAAAATACAAGAACATCTGAGCGAGGTTGTAACATATTTCTGAACTGCATAGGTGTACCTGGCCAAAGTTAAAGTTATGCTTCAACCTTCCCCCATTTACTTTGACAACAGCCGCTGTGATAGTTTTCTTTTAATGAGTTATAGCCTCTGTTTCCTCAGTTTTTTTTTAATTAAATCAGCAGTCTGTTCCTGTATATGAACAGATGGATTGTCATATTACAATTTTAGGAAAGGTGAAGTCACCGTGTGAAAACTGGACTAATTGAATTTGATGAAGCTTTATTAACCATATGTGCCCCCCCCCCCCTTTTCGCTCTTAACTTGCCTAATCGGTTTACTGATGATGTCAATCCATCTCAAGAAGCAAACTATACGATAAATGTATTGTGTTAGAGGTCATTGTTAGGGGGGCTCTGGTAAGGATTCATGACTCAGATGCTATTCTATCCAAATATGATTATTAGTGCAATTTGAGGGTTGGGGGAGGGGGGGTGATTAATAATTTTCTTTTTTATCATTCGGGTAGCATGCACACATGAAAAACGTGGACTAGTCATGATCCAATCAAATAATTTGTTCAGAGCAGTTTTGCGAGTGGAGGAGGGCAAATGTTGAGGAGAGAAGTCCATGAAACAAAGTTGATAGTAAAAAGATAATAGTGTGCTTAAAAATAAAAAAAAATAAATAAAAAAAAAAAGAAAGTATTGCAGCGGTATGGTAATTACAAGTTTAGATTGCAGGTTTGAATAATTTTCACAACTACAATTAATCAAGAAAGTCAAATTGTTCACACCATTGTTTCTTCGAATCTTTAATATTTGTGAAATTCAGTTTATGTTCCTTTGCATAGGATATTCAAAACTGTTTAAAAGGTCAGACTTGAATGCGAATTTTAAATTGCATCTGGAAAATGTGAAAAAAAAAAACCTGCCATGCAGTTCAGTCTCTTCTGAGAGGAACATTTGCAAACAGATTAATTTAGCATGCACAATGTAATTTATCGAACATTGGATGAATTGCGATGCCCTGATTTTTGTGTCTTTCAATACTGCGTCTGAAAGGCAAGTTTAAACGGTACCATTCTATGTAGCCATGGATCTTTTACAATAATTCATATTTAGAGCACTTTTCCAGACACTCAGAGACTTTGGTCCATCCATCCATTTTCTGTTCCGCTTTATCCTCACAAGGGTCGCGGGGGGTGCTGGAGCCAATCCCAGGCGTCTCCGGGCAGTAGGCGGGGGACACACTGAACCGGTTGCCAGCCAATTGCAGGGCACACAAAAACAACCAACCATCCGCGCTCACAGTCACACCTCGGGACAATTTAGAGTGTTCAATCAGCCTGCCATGCATGTTTGTGGAATGTGGGAGGAAACCGGAGTACCCGGAGAAAACCCACGCAGGCCCGGGGAGAACATGCAAACTCCACACAGGGAGGCCCGATGTGGAACTGAACCTGATACCTCTGCACTGTGAGGTCGACGCGCTAACCACTGGACCTAGAGACTTCTAAAACAGAAATAAGTAAAATAGTAAGGAGGGTGGGGGTCGGGTGCCCATGTCACGATCACACTACAGAGACAGGATGCTGTCCTGCAGAGCACATTTGTAGTTTTCAGCAGGAGCTTCTGTGGACACAGCGGGGTCGGCCTTTTAAAGACAATGTTATGCGGAATGGGCATATACAGTACATCCAATTTGTAAGCATTCCAGGTGAGGTATGATGAACAAAACATGGCTTTTATGCATTTGCTGGCTTCCCTAAAATTATCAGCACAATAGATTTATGTAACTTAGTTGGTTAGGACAAAAATATTTATGACTGAAATGTCATGCACGACATCAGTGGTTACTCACAATAACATTTCTTTCCAAGTTTAGTGGTACACATACGCATATACATACAGTATATACACAGGCAAACGTGGTGAGAGAGATAGGCAGAGTTTGGAAAATCGATGTGAAACTCTTTCACTTTGGAAGCGTATTGTCATGGCTCAATTTACACGATCAACTTATGACTGGTTGGAAGCGAATAATCGCTCGTCTTTGTTCCCCGTACAATACATAACAAGCGGTGCCTGAGACTTGAAATGGGCCCCAATTCAAAAGAGAATCATTTACTCAAAAATCTAAAACCTCAATTTGGACATCCCCAGTGCATGTCCAACTGTGAAAGACAATCATTAAAACCAATCTTGACCTTTGAACGTAAGCACTTCATTGACTGTTTAAAAAAAAAAAAGTATCAAGCCTGGATATTTTCTCTGCAAATATGGAGCCGTTCTTGTTTCCCAATAACACCATCTGTCCAGATCTCCACACAGGCCTTGATTTACTTCTCTTCATTTTAATCAGTTCTTTTCAAGCAAATATCAAGGATTTTAAAAAGAATCCATGTGCAGTGCTCTGTTTGGAACTTGTTTGCCGATTTTTCTCCATATGTTTTTGGCTAAGCTTTGGAAGTTGACATAATACCTGAAGACTCATTCATAATTTTTTTTTTTTTACAGCCAGAGTTTGATCAACGGTAATTTCCCCCATAGGGACAATTACAGGACTCCAAGGCACTGTAAAAGTCTGGAACTTTTGCAAGGTCAAAACAATTACAGGTGTGTTCCCAAAATGTAAAAATCAAGTGTGCCCTTGGGGCTACCGCCATTCTATTTAGTTAGACCAAGTCAGACGCTCATCATACAGTAGGTGACCCCAATTTTTCCTCCACTTACGTCCTCTCCTCACCATTTCTCAACTTTCCTTCTCTATTTCCAGTAAGTATAGCAGCCACCTTGCATTTGCCCTCTACCACATTATCTCACTGACAAAACTTTACGGTACCTTTTGAACTGATGTAGTTGTGTCCGACACGACCTGTCCTTGGTATCCATCTGCTTGACCCTTTTTTGTCTGGATTGCCTTTTATGTATGCTTGTCTGTCAGCAAAAATTCCTGGTGTGATTCCTATGAGCTAACACATCATCTATATGTGCAGCTTTCTTCCAGGGCTTGTGATTGTCCAGAGATACAGGCGACGTGATTCATGACAACACCGTCTTTCCGAAACAAGGTGTGTCTTTGTAAGTGTGTTTTTTTTAGATTTATAAATTCACACTGTGGGTGTGTGCAAGCAGCATAAACATGCTGCAGGAGTCTTTCTATGCTTCGTCCAATCACGATGTACAAAGTTGGCCAGTGAGAAGGAATGAGTGGGCAAATCCTGATGGTGCTCTATTATTGCCGCCCAAGAAATCTTCACCTATTACTATAAGTGACTCTCCCTATCATGTTTGATTGTATAAATTGCATTCCATTCCATTAAGTACCCGGTTAGATTGTCATGTTATTCTCCTGATGAAAAAGATTGTCATCCACAGTGCATGAAAAAAGCAAAGTCGGGTATGACGTTTTTATAAAATGACACATGCACATATTGCTTGGGTTAAACAAGCAGTAAAAGTAAGAGCAGGAATTGCAGCGTTGATAAATTCCCATCAAATGCATTTGTCACTCAGAGCCGGACAGGAAATGACATCAGCTTTAACGGTAACTGTGATTATTGGCTGTGGGTCGCAAAATTCAGCAGCCACTGGTGGATTCTACGGGCATATTGCATGAAGGCCGTCTGTGCATGTCAAACATGTCACGATACAAACAATTTGGGCCATATTCTCCAGGTGCTTAAGTCAGCTACGTACTTTTGGGGCTGCGCGGATTCTCCCATCGACTGCTCCTTCATGAAATGTAAACACTCTGGGTGGAGACAGTAGACATCAGGGTGCAATCCTGACAAAATCTGTCAGTGCGCACATTCTACTGATGACTTAAGCGTCTTTTGTCCTCCTGGACTAAGATCGAGCGCCTCTCAAGGCAAAACATCAAATTGCATGCTTCGAGTCATTTCACAGCCGCTGACAGTGAGTGATGACTGTCACTTTTGCATGCTGACCAATGTGTCCTCTAATTTTCCATGTGTCTGAGCATTCATTGGGCCATTGTGAGCAACATCACACATGCACATGGTCAGTATCAAACATACATTTACATACATACCAAACCAATATCGCACCTGCCCAAAACCTGAGATCATAATACGTTCCATCAAATGTCACCAACAAGATGGCCAATTATTTTATAAGAATATTGTTGGAAAAAAAAAAAAACACGTTCTCTGGATTGCCCCCTCCTGGGGTTATAGTGGAACCGGGCTATCGTGACATTATTCCCAGTGCACTGTATTGGTTTAAGATCAAAATAAATCCGCGAACATAACACTTGAAATAACTCCACTGAATACACCTCCAGCCGTGCCCTGTCATTTCGAGGCAGATTGTGTTCTCATGCGTACAACTTTCTTGTCAAGGTCAGCCAAATGATACTCCCCCTTCCTCTTGGCAAAGAGTGCAGGAAACGACTCAGAGATGCAACCTGGTACACGGCATGTCAATACGAGAAATCAACAGGGCAGTCAAGAGGTTTGCCTTCTAATTTTCACTCTTGGCTTCATTACAAGTTGGCCGCTGGAGGTGTTGAGCAGGTGGGTGGGTGCTGGTTTAGGAGGCAAAAGGGGCAGCAACAGTACCAGCGGGAGACCTTGTGAGATCCATGTCTGGGGATGTTTTACACCACATATGTTATGCGCCTCCTGTGAGCTACAGCACCTCTGGGCCTCATGAAAATGATTGCGGAGACTTTGTGAAAAGGTGCTGTACCTAATGACGATGTGTCTCTTTTGAGAGTGAGTGGTGAGTCACGTGTGACGCTGCAGGAGGTCTACGTTGGGGTCTACAATGCACAGATAAGCTACACCGCACTCAAAGCTGACATTTATGATGAGATATCAGCTTCTCACGATAAATACAAACATGCCCGTCAAGGACAAAGGAGGTTTTCCTACTGGTCAGTCATACAGTTGACTTAGGGCGACAGGTTTGACATGACATATCTTGATAGCTTTCAACAACTAGTGACCAGACATGGTAAGTCATTATATTGAGTATGACTTGTGAGAAATCCTGTTCATGGTCACCAAGAACCGGGAGCCTGCAGCTGTTCGTATAGAAGGCAAATCACACACTGCTAGCTAGCTGACCACAGGGCAGATATAAGGATACAAGGACACACTACCGCTGACATGCACTGTCACACTATAACTGAGTAGGAACTGAAACTAACACGACCTACACCATAGTCAGGCGTGTGTACAACGACGCTGCCGGAACTTCTTTGCATAGCATTGATGTCTTGTGAATGCTGGTCTCTAAGCACTCAAACATTTGAAATGACACACACGCGCGTCAAGTGCAGGTCAGAGCTGGTCTGCCAACAGGAAGTCAGTTCATCGATAAATGCCACATGCCAGTTCTTGTGACAGTTTGGTGACAAACACTAACTTGACACTTTCTCTTTCAATAAAAAAAGGCAAGTAAATAAAGTATTTCACTCCTTTTTAGATGTAAAAACTAAGCGTGACTTTTGTCATGTACTGTAATTTGATTAAATCCTTTTCAAGTATCATATTTACTTGGAATTAGGTCGAAGCTTACCTTGGGTGCTTGAATTATTTACGTCCAAAATGCGGACAGCAGACTGTAATTTTTAGCCGAGGGTTTCATGTTTAGAGATTATGATAGAATGCAATTTTCGGGGTCTCTACTAGATTTACACGACATGGTTCAAGTGAGAACTCAAATAATGTAGTGCACACATAAAAAGGGCAGCCGTTGTAAATCAAACTAGAGCAAATGCACCCATGGTCTAAATATAGATCACTGTAGGTGCACAGTCCATTAAATCAAGTAAACATATTACTCCACAATCAGTGGAGCAATGATGAGGTTACCTTAATTTCAACTAATGCGTGGAAAAGTCACTCCAGGCCAACTGAATGGTATACATGCCTAATATTTCTATTATGTATTTTTGTTTGTTTTTACTATGAAGTATGAGCACATGTGGGTTGTTTTACGTATTCAGTCAAGATAAGCATAGTAGTGATACTACATGCCACTTGAAAATGCATTACTAGGCAGTCCAAAAACTAAAGACACTTCATTGCAGTAAGCCACACAGCAGTCTATGAATCATCTTTGTGTCTTTATTTATTGTGCTGTGTTTACAGACTCTCCTGTCATGGTGTGACTCTAATATGACATTGAAAAGTACCTGTTCCCCCCCTCAGCTGCCAGCGTTCTTCTGCTGCCAAAGGACAAGAGCGAATGACGGCCTTTTGGGTGTTTTGAATAGATAAATTTGGCCCCGAGATCCAACTTGGGAAAAACAGGTGAGTCATAAATGTCATTTCCATGGGATGGAGGCAAAGCTGGCACATGCTAAGAGTATTGTCAAGAAATTGCCATTTAGAAATGTCACACCGTCTCCATCCTTGTCTTTCCTTTCTCTTTCGACTTTGCGTCCTACAACTTTATGAGTTATTAAGGAGGCAAGGCTTACAATGAGTCATGTGGGAGACATTTAACAGCGAGTGGCTCAATTATACAAAAGATAATTGAAGCTATAGAGCATAACAGTGATCGAAGCAGAACGGGATCTCTCTGGATTCTGGTACTCAATAAAGTAAGAAAACCCTTGATCCAGATCAGGAGTGCAATCAGGGCAATAGTGTGTGAAAATAATTGGACACCCAAAGCAGCGGAGCAATATGGCACTCCTGTTTGTCCCGACATCAGAGCAGTTAAGAGTCTGACGAGCAGTCTCTTTTTCACGCATCCTATGTTTGGAGCCTCAAGTGTGCGTGTGACGACGCAAACACACAGACAGAAGCTTAAATTGGTTTGGATTGAGAAGGAAAAGATGATAACACAAAAACGCAATGGGGCATACAGTCACGTTTTAGTCTTCTCATTAATACAAGCTTTGTCAAGTGCTCATTTACCTTTTTATAGCCTTGATTTGAAATATTTCAAAGTTATCACCAAAAAAAAGTCTCACAAATAGTGTAGTTTAGTAGTTTAGTTTTAATAGTTTAGTTTGTTGTCAAGAGTCTGCATTCCACTCTGTTAGTAAATAGCTATTCATATAACTCATGCCTACAAATCAATGCGGAATTAACCAAAAGTTGAATGGTAAATGATTACATGGTCAGACTTCAATGCAGTGGGTTTTTTTCCCCCGTCTTTTTAAAAAATGAATTTTGTATGTAATGTTTGGCTACTACGCTTTTTTTGGATGGTGCATGCGGATTTTCAAAGTAAAGTTGAATTAAATTTGACTCTGAATGGGATAAAAGCCCATGAGCTGTTTGTGATTGGGATTAATCTGCAATTGCTGCTGACATGAAAAAAAAAACACATTTTGTAGATGTGGATGTCATGTCTTTAATCGGGTTCTTGTATTTAGTTGTGTAAGTTACTGAGTATCACTCACAGGCTTGCCTTCAGGTCCAGGCTTCCCAGTCTTTCCTCTACGTCCCTAAGGAAGACAAATAAAAGGAGATTGTGATGAGAGAGTGAAGATGAAACAACAGGTGTTACTCTGTACACATGCTGCCAGCAAATAAGGCTTGACAGCAACTCCTGTCACACTCTCTAATTTGCTTTTAATTAACAACAAGAAAACAGCTTAATTGCTGCACCCCGTGTGGCCTGCAACTTTGTTCCCTCCTCTGGTTCACTGTCTTTTCTTCCAGCTGTGCGAGTCCCCCGTGCATCAATCAAAGCAGAGAGCAAATAGAGCAGCGAGCCAGCCAAGCCACAGAGCTGGCCAGTATTGACGAGCAAGGTCAGTGGGAAGTGAACGTTTTACAAAAAGCCTTGAGTCCTTGAAAGTATGTAGGACTTCAAACACTGACGTCTTAATGAGGTGTATTGCTTTCTCAAGCAAATTAAAGTTTCCGGAGTAGGATCGAAAGAATGGATGTGAGGGAACGGATTTTGGGTAACACCCTTGGAAGAAGAATCTCAACTGGGAGAGCATCACTGGCTAAGCAGTACTTGCAATTATCAAATAGTGGGGTGGGTGTGACCCGAGGGAACATGCTTATTTTGACCGTACTAGAATAAAGTGCAATTGCACATCCACTACAGTAGGTGGCAGTGGCGCTCTCATTGTCAGAGTGTCTTTAATTCTAAGGCAAAGCCAGCTATTGACAACTGGCGGCCTGCAACCAAAATCCAAGTGGCCCCTTGACTAATCTCCCACCCCAAATTTTTGGGAGGTGTATTTTTTTCGTTAACAAACTCGAAATATTTATATTAAAAAAAATAAATTAAAAAAAAACACTGAAAACATGTCGGTGTTAAAACTGTACGACCACTACCTTAGTCCACAAATTTATTGAATGCCCCCACCTAAACTGAATACCTGGGGGCCACCACCTGAGGTTTTTGTTTTAAAATGTGTGCATTGGCTCAATAAAGGTTGGGTCACACGGCGAATGCAATCAACAAAATCAACATGTTTAATCTGTATTACAACTAATTGGGGTTTTGTCATCTTCCTGTATTCCTATGGCTGGGTTGAAGACGACACACAAAGAATCACAAAGCAATGCGCTGATTCCGCCAACGCTCAATGTATGTTGACTTTGAATAATTGGTTTGCAATTTGCCATGAACGTGTGCGTGACAGCAACAGTGACAAAAGACTACAATTCGATGAGAGCTGTCAGTTGTACTGCGTAATCATCTGTTTGCATGGGTGTTCATCTTTTTGTGCTATGTAGGTTTATGCACTGTACAGACGGCAGGGACATGTAAACAAAACGAGCAAAGGTGCAGCACGTCAATTTCAATCTAAGTAATAACGGTGATTGGTTTCTGCAAATTTCTGTTTTCATGCTGTGTGATGAATCGAATTTTTTTCCTTGGTGGCAAGGGTAAGCGCTACCTTTTCAATGTGTTCTGATATTAACACAAGTATCAGTGTTATTATTAGCAATATACAGTATAAACCTGAGAAAGACGGCATTTCATTAAAGGTGGATGTTGATTTTGCGCAATCCACTGCCCATGAATAAATGCAAAAACTTAATAAACGCTCGCTTTGCCAAAAGGTCTGACCATCCTGACCTCCGCCATAACCCTTTCTCCCAACAACATCACAACAAAAGAAGATTACAAAGTTAAGTAATTTAGCTAATGAATATTTCATATGTGATTATTCCAAGCAGGACATGAATTATTCAGCTGTTGGAATAATTTCTACACATTTGCCCTAACATTGCTTTTAACTGGCAAAGTGCATACTGACCGTGAGCTTTGCATATTATAATTAAAGTAAATAGTGGTAGACCAGTCACAGTGCTCAACAAATACAGTTTTTTTTTTTGGGAGTGGGCGGGGGGGGGGGGGCTAACTTCCATTTAAACAAACATTAGCCTGAAGATAACATTCTGTTTGTAAATGGTTCAAAAGGTCGGATTTCACATTTGACAAAAATATCCCATATCAGTGCTTCATCTTTCTTCCTTCATCTTCAGAAACACCTTTGGCAGACTATACACTGTATGTGGAACTTCATAACACACAATACACAACGAATGTGTGACAAAAAAAAAAAGAATGAAATCCTGAGCAAAAGAGCACTTGCACTGAAACTTTTTTTTTTTTTTTTTTTTTTAGAGAATCCTCTCTCGGTTTAAGAAGTCAAATTGTTAAAGGGATTCGTGCCTGAGATAACTGAGCTCAAAAGTCAAAGCGCGAACGAGATTTTTCCCATCAATTTATGTCACGGTGTCTTTTATTTCAGTGTGGAACTTTCTTTTGTGTGATGGTTATCTCCAACTGTCTGTCATCTTTCAGTGGTTGTCAAACCTCTCCTGTTGGCAGCGTCTGCCACCTGTGTGTGCCGTTTCGAGTCGTAGGTCACCAATTTTCATTTGTTGAGACACTTCATCCTGTCTGTCTTTACCTTTTTGTTATAATTCTTACATTTCTACCCGGTCCTTAGTCTGTATCACAATTAAAAGATACAGAAAGAATTCAAAACGGCTTCATGCCGTTGTCTGCTCCAAATTTAAAAAAAAAAACACTCTCTCTCCCATGAGCACAGGTCTGATATTTTTCTGGTGAAGCGTGTAGCCTCAATGCCAGAGTGCACATAAGTGTCAGAGGTGGAAAACAGTCCAAAGCTGTCTCTAGGCATCTAGCATAAGCGCCACACTGGAAGAGGATTTTCTCGCTGCGGAAAATAAAAGAATGTGGGATGACATTAAAAAAAGATGAGAGAGAAAAACCTTGCTTCATGTACCAGAATCTTTGCAATCATGAGGGGATTGTTAAATGACAAAAGCTTTGCATTCCATCAGCGTAACGCTACCCAATGTTTGCAGGAATGTTTTAATAATACAAGATGTCAACATGACGGTAATTGTAATTTAAATACCTCAAGAATAGAACACAAAGTGAGCCCACATGGTGTGAATCCTTCCTCTCAGCAAAGTAAACTTTATTTTACCAAATTTCGAACTCAGTCCCCACCCTGCGCATACACCATCGCAGTTGTATTCCTCTCATCTGGGCCTCTCTCTCCGGTTTTCTTGTCATCTTTCCATCTCCTTTCTCCTCACACGCCTTGTTTCTTACGCAGCCAACTTCCAGTGCCTGTCGGATCACCGTAGCAATCTCTGTTGCTATGCAACACTCGGTGTCCTATAAATTTGACAACATCCTCGTGCTTGATTATTATTTGAGCGTCACAGTGTGAAGCCTTCCTTCAGGTCAGAGCAGTAGATTAGAATGAGGGAGGCAAAGGGGGAGAAATAAGGGGTGAGAGAGAGAAGGACAAAGAAGATGGGATTGTGGAGGAGTGGAATTGAGGGAAGATCACGTAAAAGAGGACCCAGCTTCTTGAGTAAATTAAACATAGACACAGAGCCACGTGTATTCATCAGACCCCCTCTAAAAACCAGCATCCCGTAAAAAGTAATATGTAAAGCACTCCACGTTAAGTGCCGATTAAAGAGGTGGGAGTAAAACTGTATTTGAGATGTGATACAAAGAAGCTGCAACCGTCAGCAAAGATGCCTGCATTTTTTTGGGGAGGAACTCGTCTTTAATCCACATGAATCCCAAGCCCTCCGCTGGCTTCTGCTCTGCAACAACTTGTTAAGCATACAAGACAACAGCAGACATGAAGCCCAGTTCGGGATGGCATGCCCCAAAATGACAGCAAACGCAACAACAGCGGCAACACTGTGGAGGCGCTCCTTTAGGATGATTCTATAATCCTTATCCCAAATGTCACCAGATTCTCTGAGACATTCCATGTCTGACTGCTCATGCTTGCCAGAATCACCTCTGCGGTGTAAAACGGAGAAGGCAGAACGTGTTGCGTTTTTGGCAATAAAGCAAATCTACCGTGGAAATAAGAGGTAATCCACCTGGCGAGTGCCCCTGTTGACTGGGGTCATGAGATAAGGCCTTTTGAAATGACCGAAACAGGATTCGGCTCAAACCGGGCGCACTTAATCTCACAGAGTACAGATATCACTTAGGCTGTTATGTCATACGACAAGGTCATTCACCATCCCCAATTACTGTAGTAGGTTATCTTTTTTAACGACATTAGTTTTGTCTGTTGGCAGGCGTGCCCACAAACACAAGGCTGATTTTCACAGGATTTAATGGCGCGGGTCAGAGGACATTGTCACACCCAAAGGCAGCTCTGTAGTCACGTTGGCATAATTGAGCACTCTGTGCAATGCTGAGGTATGGAATTATCCTCAAAAGGGACAGCGCTGAACAAATATTTTAGCGCAGCACCGAATGTAAGGTTGCCTGAAACGAACAGCATTGGTGATTACGATACATTTTTTTAAATGTTGCTGCACCACTTCATAGTGACACCAGTATTGTAGAAGCTCTTTAACTGAAATGACATGTTTAAGTGTAAGTGCTTGTGAAAGAATGCCGCGAGACAGCCAGATGTCTGTTGAGTGGTAAACTCTTGAACGACCATTTAGCTTATATGTTACAATGGGAATTTATTGTCTCTGGCTCGCATTTACCATTTGCATGTCCTTCCATTTTTAGTCCCTCTTCATAATGCAGGTTTTCATCATCCTCACATGGACCAAGCAGCCTGACCAGTTGAGGGGAATGAACTATTAGAGCGGAGCTTGTCCTTTGACGATATAAGATGTCAGATTCACTTGCAAATTCGATTTTAGATAGATTTGGGCTTGAAATAAGTTCCTCTGACATATATCACAATCCATCAGTCCCAAATTAGACCGAACCCTGTATCTGTCTACTAGATCCTGACCTTTCCATGCAGCCTGGTTGCTAGTCCAAACATCGAGCGTCAATGCTCTTGGCAGCAAAAATCTTTGCTTTTCATTTCCTCTGCTTGTCTCCTGTGTGACAACCAAGTTTAATGTCCCGGAGGCTAAACTTTCTGACATTAGCGAGCCAAGTTGATTTGCTCCAATGTTATGAAGCTCATAGGAGAGCTGACCTTTTCTTGACTGA